CGCTGTGTCAAAAAATTAACAGCAAAATTTGGGTCAATTTTGGGGCATTTTGAGCACTTTTAGAGCCTCAAAGCACGGGGTCAAGTTTTGGGGTAAATTCTGGGGAATTTGGGCAAATTCTGTGAGGAAAATGGATATTTTTGGGATCCCCTGTGGCGTCCTCGGGGATTTGGGGCGATTTTGGGGCAATTTGGGGCTTTTAGAGACTTTTTGTGGGCGTTAATCCGTAGGGAGAGTTTTGGGGTAAAACTGCCCAAATTTGGGCAAATTCTGAGGGGAAAATGGACATTTTTGGGATCTCCGTTTTGTCCCCAAATTGCCACCAAAATTTGGGTCCATTTTGGGGCGTTTTGGGGTTTTTTTGAGCGCTTTTAGAGCCTCAAAGCACGGGGTCAAGTTTTGGGGTAAATTCTGGGGAATTTGGGCAAATTCTGTGAGGAAAATGGATATTTTTGGGGATCCTCGCTGTGTCAAAAAATTAACAGCAAAATTTGGGTCCATTTTGGGGCATTTTGGGGTATTTTGAGCACTTTTAGAGCCTCAAAGCACGGGGTCAAGTTTTGGGGTAAATTCTGGGGAATTTGGGCAAATTCTGTGAGGAAAATGGATATTTTTGAGGATCCTCGCTGTGTCAAAAAATTAACACCAAAATTTGGGTCAATTTTGGGGCATTTTGGGGTATTTTGAGCGCTTTTAGAGCCTCAAAGCACGGGGTCAAGTTTTGGGGTCAATTCTGGGGAATTTGGGCAAATTTGGGTCAAATTTTGGATAATTTGGGGCAAATTTGGGATATTTTGGGGTAAATTTGGGACTTTTTGGGGTCTCCAGCCCTAATACAGCTTTGGGATCCCCCCAAATCCCCATTGGGGTCAACGTCAGCGATCCAATTTGGGGTCAAATTTCTGCCATTTTGGAACAATTTGGGGCAAATTTTGGATATTTTGGAACAAATTTGGGATAATTTGGGACAAATTTGGGACATTTTGGGGTAAATTTGGGACATTTTGGGGTCTCCAGCCCTAATACAGCTTTGGGATCCCCCCAAATCCCCATTGGGGTCAACGTCAGCGATCTGATTTTGGCTCCAATTTTGGTTCAAATTTCTGCCATTTTGGAACAATTTGGGTCAAATTTTCAATATTTCGGATCAAATTCAGATAATTTGGGACAAACTTGGGATATTTTGGGGTAAATTTGGGACTTTTTGGGGTCTCCAATCCTAATACAGCTTTGGGATCCCCCCAAATCCCCATTGGGGTCAACATCCGCGATCCGATTTTGGACTCCAATTTGGGGTCAAATTTCTGCCATTTTGGAACAATTTGGGGCAAATTTTGGACATTTTGGGCCTGATTTTGGATAATTTGGGACAAATTTGGGACATTTTGGGGTAAATTTGGGACATTTTGGGGTCTGCTGCCCTAACACAACTTTAGGATCACCCCAAATCCCCATTGGGGTCAACGTCAGCGATCCGATTTTGGGCTCCAATTTTGTCTCAAATTTCTGCCATTTTGGAACAATTTGGGGCAAATTTTGGATATTTTGGGGCAAATTTGGGATAATTTGAGACAAATTTGGGACATTTTGGGGTAAATTTGGGACATTTTGGGGTCTCCAGCCCCAATACAGCTTTGGGATCCCCCCAAATCCCCATTGGGGTCAACGTCAGCGATCCGATTTTGGACTCCAATTTTGGCTCAAATTTCTGCCATTTTGGAACAGTTTGGGTCAAATTTTGGATATTTTGGGTCAAATTTTGGATATTTAGGGGGAAATTTGGGATATTTTGGGTCAAATTCGGGATATTTTGGGGTCTCCAATCCTAATACAGCTTTGGGATCCCCCCAAATCCCCATTGGGGTCAACGTCAGCGATCCGATTTTGGGCTCGAATTTTGGCTCAAATTTCTGCCATTTTGGAACAATTTGGGTCAAATTTTGGATATTTTGGGCCAAACTTTGGATAATTTGAGACAAACTTGGGATATTTTGGGGTAAATTTGGGACTTTTTGGGGTCTCCAGCCCTAATACAGCTTTGGGATCCCCCCAAATCTCCATTGGGGTCAACGTCAGCGATCCAATTTGGGGACAAATTTCTGTCATTTTGGAACAATTTGGGTCAAATTTTGGACATTTTGGGCCAAATTTTGGATAATTAGAGACAAACTTGGGATATTTTGGGGTAAATTTGGGACTTTTTGGGGTCTCCAGCCCCAATACAGCTTTGGGATCACCCCAAATCCCCATTGGGGTCAACGTCAGCGATCCGATTTTGGGTCAAATTTTGGCTCAAATTTCTGCCATTTTGGAACAATTTGGGTCAAATTTTGGATATTTTGGGCCAAATCTGGAATAATTTGGGGCAAATTTGGGATATTTTGGGGTAAATTTCAGATATTTTGGGGTCTCCAATCCTAATACAGCTTTGGGATCCCCCCAAATCCCCATTGGGGTCAACGTCAGC